TTTGTCCCGTTGTCTTCTCTGTTGGTCATTTGGGGTTTTCCAATATTCTCCTCCCATCTCTACTCCATTCTATCTGTTGCTGGCGCAGTTTTGTTGAATTTTTTTCGATTTTGTTAATATTTTATCTCACGATTGCGTGCATCAAGGGCCTCATCTCTGGCTCAGACCTCGGTATCTTCTGGTAGCTTTGCTTTTACTGCATCAGAGTATTCATCTGATCGGCCTCCTCTCTTCTGATCCACTCAGATCGAATGGCCACGAAATGCTGTCAGCACAGATACGTCAGTCTGCCTATTTCCAGCAGTTGCCACCATTGCCGCTTGCCTGTGTCCAACTGGACGGTGAAGTGGCCAGCATGCCGATCATCTTTGAGGACATCTACCTCGGCCTTCAGGATAGCCTTGTCTCGCAAATCGGCTCCGCTCGCCGACTGGCCTCGTACCGGGGCCGTGGGGAGGCCGAGTTGTGGAGGGTTGTCGATGCTGGTCAGCCGGTGCCCCGGCTGCCGCCTCCAAGACCCCTTCAAGAGGGTCTCGCAGCCAGCGTCAGTCTTGGCTGTGCCGGTGCTGGCAGCGCTGAGCATGACCTGAGCGGTGGATCGTCATGCACGGCCCATCGGCGCCACGAGACGACGACTCGGTCGACGTGTCGAGAGAATACGATGACGGACAGCCTCGAGGGAGGCGAGCTTAGCAACGGGCACATTGGACTCAGTTCAGAGCTTCATGTTCCAAGATTACGAGTCGACCAGCTGCCGACTGAGGCGCCTGCTTCGCTCCGAAATCGGCCCGCGTCGGTCGCCTTGCCAGTCGGTGACGTCGGGTCGAAACCGTCTTTCGCCGGTGCCAGGTCGAGCATTGCTGGTCTGCGCGGCCTGACAGGTCTGGACGACGATTTGGCCAGCAGTCAGCCGTCCGAATCGTTGTCAGCCTACGGCGACTACGAACTTTTGTCCGGTAGTCAGTTGCAACAGTCTACGCGTCGCCGACAACGATCCATCCAGACAGAGCTCCAGTCTCAACAAGGCAATCGGCGGCATGGGCAACGATTCGTCACAACCGGCGTCTCCAGGCCGATCAGACAGCAGAGGCGAGAAGACGGAGACGTTGAAGACGAAGCCGAGGGAGAAAGCGAGAATTCCGGTGATCGGTATACAGGATGCATTGGCACCACGACAACAGGACACTGGTTGGCAGATACGCAAATGAGCCTGTTGGATAGGCCAAGAAGACCGGGAGTCCGGCCGGCCTCGACGATTGGAGGTGTAACTGATCACACTTCAGCCTTTGGCAGATTCCGTGAGGCAAGAAGAGTCTGCTCAAAGACTTCAGACTTCAGTAAGTTGTACTAAATTTACATATTCTTTTCTAATCGGCATTTTTAGCCAAGTAGCTTGCCGTTATCTGTAAACCGGATTACCTCCAAATCACCATTTAAACTCCCCAACTTTGGTAAAAATTAGAGTCAGCCTAGATCGTTTTAGGTGATGGTTCAACCTTTAACCTAATCAAAGCAAGCAGTCCCACAACATTTGTGGGTTGGCACACAAGAGACTATGGCATAGCAATTTATAGACTTGGTATTACAGATAGAAACAGGATAGACGCGGCGGAGACTAGAGCTAGTTGGCTGACAGTAGACCTGTTGTACCCGAGACGGGTACATGTAGCAAAGGCTTGATGATGAGACTTACTAAGAGGTTTTATCCTCGAATTAGTCACTCAGACGCAGGGTAGGGCTAATAACGCCTCATGTTGGCACAGATGAGGTGGCAGGGGTCGAGTGAAATATGTGAACCAGGGAGAGGGCAGACGGATCTTACGGGGCAAGAGAGAGA